ACCTCTGGCTCCACTACGCAAAGCACTGCGTTAATACAGGCTCCCATAAGGCCGCCGCCAAGGTCCTGGCCACCGCCATCGCCTATAGGCCCGATGCGAGCGACGTCTGGCTCGCCGCTGTCGCCTTCCATTTCGATACCTGCGCCGACGCCAAAAGTGCAAGGGCCATCGCCCAGAGGGGCTTGAGAGCTCTTCCGCATTCTCTCCCTATGTGGACAGAATACTTTCGAATGGAGCTTTGCTATTTGGCAAAGCTTGTTTCGAGGCGCATCGCCATGGCGCTCCCGCTTTCTGGTACTGCGCCTGAACCCTCCCAACCTCCAGAGCAGCAGGAGCAGCACGCAAATGAACCTCCTCCCGACCAAGTCGCGGTAGACTCTGCAGGTCACAGTCCCCTGTCTCACCCGTCTTCGTCTGGGAGTGAAAACATGTCGTTTTGGGACGGTGGCATTCCCATGGCGGTGTACACCAACGCCTGCGAAAGCTTGACCCTCACGCCTCAACACCGCGTCCATTTCTGGCACATCGTCGCCACCACGCCCTATGCACCGAAACAGCTGCTCCGGTCTCTAGCGTCAGCTATGCTCAAGCAACATCCGCATTGCATCATCTCCCGTCTTGTCAATATCCAATTGGATTGGGACCTTTTGCATGCACAATTGATACAGGAATCGTCTTCCGCTGAAGCCACACACGACAACGACAATGACGATGGGAACAAGGAACCTGACCAACAGACCAAGGACATGCAGCATCGCCTTGCCGATCACGCCCTGGAGACTATAAACAAGATGCAACAGCTTCTCTCCGAGCGCCCGCTGGCAGCAAGCATTGACACTTGTAAGCCGGCCGTGCAATCGTTTTGGGAAAACCTAATCGCCCTTATCAGCACTTGCGAACAGCACCAGGCAGCTACTTCCCTCGCCAAGAAAGTGCTTGTCCTCATCAAGTCTGGAAAAGTTTTCAGTGGTGATTTTTCTAGTGGCGGAACGGAAGGCCCCGACGGTGTGGATCCCAAAGACCCTCACACCTGGTCTATGAACCACTTTGCGAACATGCTAGAATCAAAAACTTGTCCCTTGTCAAGAAAATCGCACGATGTGTTGACGGCCAAAGTTCTCATCCCCTTTCGAGGGCGCGATGAGGAGAGAGCTCTCTGCGCATGGTTATCTTCAGAGGGCAATCTGAAACAGTTGCAGGGCATTTGCGATACCATGCTTACCCTGCCCCCGCTCACATTGAAGTCATTACACTCGGCCATCCGGTCTCAAATGAAAAATATGACCGCATGCAGAGTCAGGGACAACTATCTGGTGCAGACGTGCTTCAGCTCCCTTTCCAAACAAGAAAATTTTTTAAAGCAGCAACGGCTTTGCCATCGGCGAACACAAATGTGGACTTGTGGCTTGATTATCTGGATTTCGAAAGGCGCATTGCACGCGAATCAAAGCTGGCAACAAAAGTCAACTGGCAGGCATTGAAGACTTTAGACGCAAAGCGAGGAGAGCTCTTTACAGAGAGACAAATTCTCCGCAACCTTGCATGAAGAACAGCGTGCTGCTCTGGAGCGTGTTGGTAAAACGCTTGGGACGCACCATACTCGCACTGATAGATGTCAGACCTCTCAATGACTGATTCTAACACGGGCCGTTTTATCCATCGGGCTGAAACACATTCAATGCAATACAACATTACGCTCCACTGTTCTACTGCGTACTACCAACTCGCATGTCTAAATTCCGAGCATTGTGGCGAGCCTTTTTTTGCCACAGATCTGTCTCAGAAGCAGCGCATGTTTTGCCAGGTGAAGCCCACGATAGTATGGGTGTGGGGGGGGGAAGGGGGGGGGGCAAGTTGATTTACCGCACAGCATCTTCAACAGTGCTATCGCCCTCTTCGACGAGTTCGGCGCGCTCTTCTCTAGTCCATTCATCTTTGGTGCCGATGGAGACTTTTGAAGCACTGAAAAGGCGCTGTTGGCATATGACGGCAATGGCCATCATGACGGCACACAGGCAGAAGACGGTGGTATTCTCATAGTTTTTGTACAGAATGAGGCAGACTATGAGATTCAAAGGAAGACGAAAGTAGTTCATAATGGCGGATCGGGTGACCTCGGGAACATACTTTGCTCGCATGGTACCCATAGCCGGAAAGTACAAACCGCAAATGACCTCAAACGCAAGCAGAGCGCCGTACACCTCCCATACATTGGATGATATGGTGGTGACGACAAAGCAAACGACGCCTATGATGTACATATTACGCATGAATAGCTCAGCGGGTTGTGTCTTCATAAGAAAGACGAATAAACTGCTTCCAATCATGATGCAAACCATGAAGGAACTAAAGATCATGCCATGCGGAATCTCGCCAAGTGACATGGCATTCGACGCGGCCTGTAGCGCCGGGGTCCAACTGAAGACCATGAGATACATGGCAGACTCAAAGCAGGACTGAATGATGCCGACAAGCAAGATCTTCTCATCGGCAATCATCATATGCCAGGCACTGCGCAAGCCGCCGGTGACGGTCTGCCTACTATCGCCAAAGTTCTCGGACCAGGACAACATGACAATGAGGCCCGTGGCGGCGAGGACGACAGCGGCCGTATCAAACGGGGCGACCTTTCCAAACTGGGCAGCGACGATGCCAGCAATCTGGCCTGCGACAATGGCGACGACGGCATTCCCAAACTGGGCCTTTGAAAAAGTGTCGGCGATGAGGTTGGGATCAAAGCCGCGGTTGTTATGCTCCGACACAAGCCACGACTCGAAGGCCGAGAAGAGGATGCTGGTAGCAATGCCCGCCAGCAGCCTGCCGACCATCAAGGTAGCAAAGTTCGGCGAGTGCTTGGTCATGCAGGACAGGGCGTACGTGATGACGAAGACCAGGACGTTAAACTTGCGGCCATACTTGTCGGCGATGGAGCCGATAAAAGTGCCGAAGACGGCGGACGAGCCAAAGCCGGCGATGAAGAGCTGGGCGATCTCCTTCTTCCCGTAGCCGTACTCGGCGTACAGCGCGTAGACGTAGGGCCCCTGCAGCCAGTCGGCCGCGATGGCCAGCAGGTAGACGAGCAGGTAGTTGTTCTGGAAGGCGCGGAAGTCGGGCGTGTTCGCGGCCGGGCCGTCCGATGGCTTGGCCGCGTCCGACGCAGGCGACGCGTCCGAGAAGTAGTACTGCGCAAAGCGCACCAGGGCGCACGTCACGACCAGGCCGCCGAAGATCTCGGCGTACATGGCGGCGGGGGGGGAGTCTCGGCGGGCGCGGGGCGGGGAGGCGGAAGGCGGGAGGGGCAGAGTCTGGCGAGAGGCAGCGGCGGGGCAAGGCGGCGGCAGAGTGGAAGGGCGGCAGAGCGGCAGAGCGGCAGAGCGGCAGAGCGGGAGGCCGCGTGTGCAGACGATTAGAGAAGACGGGGGCGGAAGCGGGGGCTCGAATTATGCGGCGCGACAGACAATGCGGCGAGCGACAAGAGGCGGGAGCGACAAGAAGCGGGAGCGACAGGCCGCAGCAACAGTCGCTGCGCAACCGGCTTGCATTGCTGTCATGACGAGCGGGCAGTTTCGGGGTCCGCGCGTGACACGTGCGCGAGGCAGTGGCCGCCGCTGCCGCCCTTCAGGACCGTACACGCCCACTCAGTGGCGTGTACGGTCCTGAAGGGCGCGCACCACCAATGTCTCACCAAATGTCCCACTCAAATGTGATTCTTTAAAGCCCGCCCTGTGATAAATTTTTATAAGATAAAATAAAGATGGCACCAATCGCCGCTGGTCACCCCGATTGGCCGTTTCTCGCAACCGCCCCGCCCGCCACAAGATAAACTTTTACGCACCAGGCACACGTCAGCCGCGCTGCAGGCGCGCGCTCGATCCGAGCTAGAAGCGGGACCCGGCGTTGCTGCCGCGCGCTGTGCGCGGCGCCGAGCGCTCCCACGCGTCGCGAGAGACGTGCCGAACTTTACTCGCTCCGATGCATGCCGCATGCGTACTGTAGTACTGTACTGCTGGGCGGTCATGCTTGGGCTTGGGAGATGTGCAAACATGAGTGGCGAGTTGAGGGCAGCCTCGTGATCTTGCCAGCGTGCCGAACTAAAGTTTATATACCCTGTACTCAGATCGTGCAGTTGGGCTCAAACGCATTCAATCCATTTGTTGCATGCCGCACAACTTGGTGCGACGATTTCATTCATTTCATTCCCGGACGTGCTACGGAATTTGGAAGAGAGGAAGCAATACTCAGAGGAGGACACGTTCTCGCCTCTGCTTACAGCACATCCCTCGCCACACGTGTACGATTCTCAGTAGGTCCACGTAGTACTGTACCGGATCGCAATCTACTGATTTATCGAGCCCATCGATTTCCCACCCAATACCACCGTCGCATCCCCCTCACCCTTCACCTCCGCGAGTACGGGAAATTCGAGACCCATATTGACCTCCGCCCCCCCCACAGTGCCCACTGTTGCACCTTGGACACGATGTGCCTTCCGAGGGCTGGTTCCAACGCGAGGGGCGAAGACAAAGAAAAGATTGCGGTGTTCCGTATAGATATGACTCTGACCTTGGCCTTGTAGCAGGTACTTCATCTTCAGAAAAAACTGTGAAAAATTGCGAACCCTTCCTTCTCAAAAGTTGTCCAGTCCAGCTGCGCACCTTTGAAGGCTGCTCCAAGGAAGGCAATTGGCTTATGTCGCTGCTTTGTTACGGGCAGACGAAGCTGTTCCCTGGTGGTTTGCGTGACAACGCCAGCCCAAAATTTCTGAGAAGCTTCCGTAAAGACGCATCGCACTTTCTTGGTCAAGCAGTTACATT